AGTCCCATTTGGTTTTACGGGGCTGTCCAATCCCAGGCTGAACGGTGAACCTCGGAGATAACTTCACCACTGAGCTAAAAGGGTTTCTGGGGGCCATACTCTCAGGGTTTCTCCAGTCTCCTTTAGGCCAGTAAATCTGGTCTTTTTTTTGTGAGTTAGAATTATGTTCTACATCGCATGGTCCCTTTTTAAAAGCACACTTTTATATACACATAAGAGACTGACAAGATACATTGTACTACTATATACACTAGAATGTTAACTGAAGGGCAGGATTCACATCTACAACAGTGCCTGCTATATACTGTAATGAATAATGACTTGTTGAATTAATAAACATTTGTTGTATGTTCAACAGTGATTCTCTGAATAATGATCTTTGTCTGCTATTTTTAAAGCTTTCTATGATGGGCATGTATTGCTTTTACAGTAAAAAAAATACTAAAAACAGATTCAGTATTAAGTGCCTTTGATGTTAACTATGGTGTGATGTTATTTATAATCAGATATAAACAATTAAAACAAAATCTGGATACATCTTACATTCTTAAATGTAGAATGATAGCATAAATCAAAGGCAGCCGTTAAAATCATGTTTTACACAGAGTTTTCAAAAGCTTAAAAAGTGAGAATCATTTCGGTAGTACTGAGTTTTTGTTTATGGGGATGGAAAATTTGGCAAAGGATATTGGTAATAGTTGCACAACATGATTGATGTAATTGGTTTTCGTGAATTATACATTTGAAAAAATGTTGAATTGGCAAATATGTTCTTTACATTTTTATAAAAATAAAAAACATTTTTTAAAAAGTGAGAAAATACAGATGACAAACCATGGGTACACACACAATATACTTATAAGTAAATAATAAATAACTGATTTTCTCTGGTGATGGGATTATAGGTAATTTTTTATCTTTAAAACATAGCTTGTTTAAAGGATAGTATATAGTTCGTTTTAAAATTTCTCTAAAAGAAATTTTTTAAGAAATCATTTGAGAGCTCTACTATTGACAAGGATGTATCCCATATTTGTCATGGGATATGAGATTTAAGAATGATTAAAACTACAGTAAAACAATATTAGATTCCTTCATCACATGTTACCAAAATAAAACCTGGTAGATTAATGATTTATAGTTTCATTTTTTACATTTTTAAATACTAGAAGAAAGTAATTGAATTTTCAATCTTGGAAGAGGGTCTTTTTTTTTGTCACTGCCTCTCTGATCAGGTCTTTATTCAAAATGAGCTGTCCAAAATGATTTGACTTGTACAGAATAAACAAATTTAAGAGTTTATGCAGCAGGCTTCTTTTCTTCTGTGGTAGGTTTCTTTTCTGCTGGCTTCTTCTCAGTTGCTGGTTTCTTGGTAACTGCAACCTTCCTTCTCAGCATAGGCCTCTTTGGCTTCTTCATATCAACAGCTTTCTTTCCTCCCCTCTTCCCTACCACAGCTTCTTGCTTGGAGCTCCCCTCTCATCTGACTTGGCCTCTAGTGCTGCTGCTGCTTTACCCACCTGAATTTGTCATTCCTGGCCTGGTGAAGAATAGTACTTTGACACATGGTCTTTGCATATGAGTTTAGCTTCAGCATAATTCTCAGGTTTTTCAGGGGGTTCCTGTTCAGGGCTCTGTGATGAATCTTCTTACATGGTGCTCAGAGGGCTCTTTGACTCTTCGTGCTTTTCAAGATCCTGCTAAGGTGGGTATTGATCATCCTGTGTATGGGAACGTTATAGCTACTCTCGAGGGAGGCAGCTTTATGCCAAGTGCCATACAGCTCATTTAACTTACAAAAAGCACTTTCAGTCCAAATGTAGAAATGCCCCACATGTCCAACAAGGGCAAGTTTCAAATGTTCAGTTTGCTTACATTAAGCAGAGTAATTCCAGGGATGTTTCTATAGGTCTTGATGATTCCACTGTCCTCATTACAGATAATGCACGGTCCTCTGTGCTGGATACGGTGTCGGTTTCTCATTTTGCCCTTGCCAGCTCTCAGTCGCTGAGAGGCATAGAAATTTTTGATATCATTCCAGGCCTTAAGTTTCTTAAGAAGTAAAACAGCCTCCTTGGTCTTCTTGTAGCCTTCAGCTTTATCTTCAACCACCAAAGGAAGTTCAGCAGCTTCCTCAATATGATGACCTTTGGACACAACCAGTGCTGGTAAGGCTGATGCAGCCAGGGCAAAGTAGATGGCGTAGCTAACGGCACCAGATTTTGGTTGGTGCAAACACACAGCCTTCACGACACATATTTCCAAAAGCATCTAGGCCAGAGTGATGAGTCCCACCACCTCAAACTCCAGGAATTTGAGCCGCAGCTCTGCCAGTACCCCAGGGCTCAGCACTGGTCTGATGATGTGCTAATTCGCTGACAAGTTGGTGAGAACAAAGTTCACAATATCCGTTCAAATGGGAGCCTTGAACATAGCAGACAAACTAACATTTTTGCCAGATGACTCTCCCTTTTCTGAGTACACTGATTATCAGTGGAAGAACACACGCCCGGTAGGGAAAAGAGAAGACCACACTCCTCTCAACCCGCGGCTCCCACAGAAAGAGCAGAAGAGGGCCTTGTTAACATGACCGTATATTTTTCTATTATGGATGTGTCTCATAAAAATTGGAAATGCAACACAAGTATTAAAATACAAATAAATAGAGGAAATACTTGCAATATGACAAAGTTAACACTCCAATAGCTTCCATTTATCTCAGAGCTAGAATGTGTGGTGAAGTAAAAATTGTTATAAAACTATATTTGTTATGAAAATGAGATCTTTTTGTTTCTTCCAAAAGATATGCTTAAATGTATAAAGTGTGAAAGGGTATACAGGGATGTGTCGCTTAACATCTGTTCAGGCAACGTTCGACCACATGTATGTCAGTGATCCCAAAAGGTTTTTTTTTTTTTCTTTTTTTAAAAAGGGAAAGCAGCTCTCCTTTTGTTTATTTTCCCCTAATGGTTTTAACGGGCTCAAACATTGCAACAATTGTGAGGATGGTGCAGGCCTGGGCAGTGTTTCGTTCTTTTGTACATAGGGTCACTGTGAGTCTGAACTGACTCAAAAGCACCTCACAACAACAACAATGGTTTTAAAGACCCCAAACCCAGATTCTTGCAGCACTGGACCACGGGTGGGATACCAGCAGGTGAGGCAGATGCAGCAGATGACGTGGCTCTGGACACAGGCTCTTAGGCTTTGTCCTTTGGGCAGGCAGGTGCCAGCGGCAGGGTCTGCGAGGCCAGGCTGCTCCTGTTGCTCAGGCGGGCAAAATGTGAGTGGAGGAGGGTGCACTCCATTCCTCCTCCCTCACTTCCTCTCCTCTGCTTCTGCCGCTGCCCTCTCAGCCACTCCCACTGCTCCTTCCTCCGGCCTGTGCCAGCTGCTCCAGCAGCAGCATCAGTAGTAGCAGTGGCAAGGAGGATGTCCAGAAGCTGTCTCCCATAAGGTTTTAGTATGGTGTTTGCACAATGTCCAAATCACATAACATCGTATTTCACATAATGTATTGTGGACTTTAAGTGATGCGTACCTGTACATCACAATGATTATCTCTAAATGTAAGACTATAATTATTGAACACATTTTCTATTATGAAAATGTGTTGCTTATATACTTTTTACCTTTATAGGCCTTCAAAAACAAAACAAACAACCCTTAAGATTTAATCACAGTCCCTTTCCAAGGGAAAAATTAACTCAAATACACCTTAATATAACTTTGGGTCATTCTCTGTGAAACTACTATTTGCTACATTTTCTTGAAACTTCCAGCATCCCCTCTTATTGTATCCCTTTAAGCTAATGTTCTTGCATCATTAATTGTTTGTGTGTGTTAGGTACTGTTGAGTCAGTTCCAACTCACAGTGACCCTATGCACAACAGAATAAAACTCTGCCAAGTCCTGCACCACCCTCAATTAGCTATGATTAATTTGATCATGATTAACTGCCCTATCGGGTTTCCAAGGCTGTAATCTTTAGAGAAGCAGATCGCCAAATCTTTCTCCCACCTATGAGATGTCAAAGTAACTAGGTCAAATGGGAAGTTGAATATATGACCTTGACTCAGTAGAGAGGTCAGGGGATCAGTTTAAGAATGCTTTATGTAACTATGACATATGGAGTCATGGATTAGATTTGCTCACCTAGCTCTGAGTACAGAGAAAGTAGAAGGCTTGGGAACATGCCCTTTGATATTCACAAATAAAGAAGGCAAGCAGAGAAGAGGGCCAGGAAAGGACTAAGGTGGAGTATCAGTGAAGAAGGAAAAACTAGGAGAATGTGGTATCTCAGAAGCCAAAAAGGGGAATCTTATAAGAGGAAGCAAACAGCCCCTTATGGTGAATGCTGCAGAGAGATTGAGAAAGATGACGATAAATGGTATTCACTGTCTTTGGCAAGTTGGAAGTTCTGGGTGACACTGACAAGGACAGTGTATGAGGCATCACACAGACAGGAGCCCCATTAGAGTGGGTTGAGGGGAAAACAATAAAGGGGGACATGGAGGCACCTATTTAGACAATTACTTCAAGAAGTTAATGGAGCTGAAAAATTGGTTGATAGCTAATGAGGAAAGAAGGTAGGACTAAGAGGAAAATTTTGTTTTTTTGTCATGTTTGTAAGATGAAAGATATTGGTGCATTTATGCTCATAGGATTGATATAGTAGAGAGAACCTGTTGATACAGAAGAAAGGAGTTATAATGCCAGAAAAACTCCTTGAATGCAAAAACGTTTGGGATACAGAATACAAGTGAAAGGTTTGACCTTGAATAGAAGCAGAATTTGTGGCAGAAAGAGTGGACAAAACTGTTAACGGGCTGGTTAAATTGGTGGCAGGAGGATGAGGGAGTACCCACAATTATTGTTGTTGTTATTAGGTGCCATCAAGTTGGTTCCAACTCATAAAATCCTATGTACAATAGAACAAAACATTGCTTGATCCTGCGCCATCCTCACAATCGTTGCTATGTTTGAGCCCATTGTTGCAGTCATTGTGTCAATCTATCTCATTGAGGGCCTTTTCCACTGACCCTCTACTTTACCAAGCATGATGTCCTTCCCCAGGGACTGGTCCCTCCTGATAACATGTCCAAAGTACATGAGATGAATCTTGTCACCTTGCTTCTAAGGAGCATTCTGGCTGTACTTCTTCCAAGACAGATGTGTT